AGACTGCAATGCAGGCAATGTGGTTGACTTACATATATACGCAATGCGCTAACTTATAGAAAAATGATACAGGAAATATACGCCTCAACTTATTTCTATTGCATAAGATTATAACAGCATAATATGCTGCAAAAAAAAGCGATGGAAGTAGATGACCATTGTCACAGGGACTGCAAAGGGCCAAGGAAGTATGTGTAAGGGGATTCCTCTTGATTGTACATGAAATCAAAGGCACCCGCAATGTATTCATCGAGACTCAACTTATTGTCGCCGTTAGTATCGACAATTTTGAAACTCTCTTCAGCTTTCTGCTCATCGTGGATACCCATGGCGTGATAGTAGATCTTCCATTCTGGAAGCGAGATGAAGCCGTCTCCAGCTAGATCTATCGCATGGAACATCATCGTCAGATTGGCTTTGTAATGTAATTCTGCATCCTCGTCAACTTTGGCTGATTGGATAATTTTAATCCGGCTTTCTAGAAAATCCTGTTTAAACAAATTTAGAAAATTATGTTTAAGAAGAGAAAAGCTTTAATTGTGGCAGACATTGAGTTCATATTCTCGAATTTAAGCTCTAGAGCAGGTTTGTTTTTCGCTCCTGTGTAAATTAAGTCTTGAAGCTATGACCCATCTTTTGTCAAGTCACCTGCAGCTCTTTTTTCCACGGAATCTTGTAAAAGGTTTAAAAGCTTTTCTCAGCAAAAACATTTCCCAGTTTTTTGATCTGTTTCTTTCATACTATTTACGTCGATAGAAGAATAAGTCCCAAATCAGAACACTGTGGAAATTTGATGTCAGAAACTGGAAAGGATATAAAATTCGTCTGTTTTGGGTTGATCAAAAACTTCTATAGAAAATCTTTGAATGATAATGAACTAAACAACAACAAAATAACTGAAATGATAAAGAATAATTAAAAGATTGTCAGAATGATATAAGAGAAACTAACTAAGTTGTGCTTAGAATAATGGGTAGGCAAGGGGAATCCACCATGCACCAGATGTTTACCGAAAATAAATTCTAGCTACCCACAGAAGAAAGTTTGAACCATTTATATGAATATTCAAAAATTCCCGATGCATTTGACTTCTATACCATCACTCATTTTTCAATTTCAAATCTTCTGAGCGGTGTGAGTCTAAAATTTTCGGCTCATGACAGATAATTTTAAACATTTAAAGTCGTATTAACGAGAGACTCAAAAGCAGTAACTAACTGGAATTGTATTACCAATCGCAGGTCAGAGCCTGGTGGTCAGGCACATCGATCGTGTGCTTGTTTGGGAACGTTTTATAAAGCTTGAGGCAGTCCTCCGTCCTGGAGTCAAAAAGCATGCGCATGGAACGAAGCTATATTACGCATGCTCTCTGACTCCAGGACAGAGGGTTTCCACTCGCTCACCTACCTGTCAAGTGCTACATGAGCCTTTAAGCGACACAACCACCCAAAACCCGTAAGGTCAAGGGCTATTCATCGCTTTTATCCTCTTCAGCTGTGGTTTTCATCTCAAGTATATCGATATATATAGTAATGACAGACATGGAGTTTTTTAAGATATTCTCTGGGCTTTGATTTAAAAATATGCACTCGAATAATCTCTTCTTAGTTTTTAAAAGTTTACTACACAAGTAACCAACATACTAGACGTGAAAAGCCAATAGCTCTGAAACAAAATTTCCACACTTTATTTTACTGAGCATGAGCAAGTTCTATCAAAATTTATATACGTAGAGCGAACAGGAGGTTAGAATTTAACAGGAGGTTAAGTTCGTTAAGCTCATTATGTTAAGGGTCGTGTAGGGCAGAAGATAAAGAAAATTACAAAAGTGATATAGCCAAAACTAACACAGAAAAGATAACAAACAACGACAACATAGCTAATTGTATAATCTTGATGTCAATGTGATGATGTATCTTCAATATTCTTATATGATGGTAACTTACTTCAAAGCTGAGTGATTCGTCCTTCTTGAAATTCGCATCCCACCACGAGGACAATTTTTCAATGAAAGAGTGCATAGCATCTTCTGACATGCCCCCAAACTTCTGAAATTTGCAAGCCAATGCCGGTAAATCATCTCTGTTAATAAATTTATTGCCATCTGCATCGATGCAAGTGAACAATGTTTTTAGTTTTCTTTTCCAAAGTTCAGAAATTTTGCCGGAATAATTGTCGCTCGTGCCTGTATCAGCTGCCATTGCTGAAGTCTGATGAACTGAAATTTGATGATGATGGGATGTTCTTTTACAGATGCTCATATGAATTAATTCACAGAATAATTTTCACAGGCTAAATGCCGGACCAGTGTTCATCTGATGTCATAATCTTGTCTTAACATATTGATCATTTTAAAAATCAAGGTATCATTCGTTAATTGGAAAATTTGATGCATGAACAACAATTATAAAAGCTTTTCTTGATTTCAATTTAATTTATTTGAGCACTTACGATTAGAAATTAAAAGTGATTTTATTTCAAATGAAGTAAGTCAAAATCTTAGTAAACTAGCAGAGTAAGTTGTCCTACGAAGAAGAAACTCACAAGAAAATACTGAAAATCACATAGTGGTTGATCATTAGAATTATGCAAAAACCGCGACACATTGACTTCAAATGATCATACTGGAAAGTAATTGGATGTTGGTAAATTCTTTTGGAAGCTCAGACGTGTTCTGCGCATATAAGGACTTTAACAAGGATAATTAAGGTGTTTTTCATAGACACACAAAAATTTATTACTTATGGTCTAAGTTACCACTTTTGAATAGGCAATCCTGAGAGATCTCTTTCAAATTTGCAAAACTTTATAAACATTTTCACAGTAAAAGACTCAAAACCGCTAAAGCTCCCGAGGCTTCTTTACTGTTCTCCAGGGCCTCCGACGAAGGGAGTGGGGCGGGGGCCAGGGCCCCCCACTTTTTTGCAAAACAATAGAGCTTTTTTCAAAATCTTTTGTTATGATTGTGAAATTTTCCCTTCACCCACCCACTTTCTAACCTGCGTCGGAGCCCATGTCCTCAGTCCCCCAAACTGCAGGAATCTTGTAATCATGATACCTCTGATCACCAATTTACGACCTTCCCTGTGAAATTCCTACCTTCACCCTGACACTTTTAAGTTTTAAACGTAGTAAATAGCACAACATTTTATTTGATATAAAAAGTTACAGACCAATTACCTTAAACTGTACCTACAGTAATTACCAGCATATAAGGAACCGTTTTTAAAAAAACTTAGGCCTCAGAAAGTTTCTTATCAACAGAAACTTTTCATCATCAGGGTCTAGGTTTCTTCATATCAATAATTACTGTCAAGTCAAATCAAGTCAAGTCAAGCTGTATGACAGAACCGTTCTTGGACGCGTATCCAATATTATAGGTAGTAGTGTATAATACATAAGCTACAGTTAATACATAAGCAGAGATACATACGCATCTTTGAGCACGAACACCGAAAATTGTTTTTGATAAAATGAGCTTCTTTTGAAGATAATGAGGCCGGTTTCTAATACAAGGGGGTTTTTTATATGCGGGTACTCACTTTAACGAAAACTACTATACTACATTACAAGGACAGCCAGAAGGAGCAATATGTCATGACTACCCCATAGCACTAGACATATACGTAAATTATAGTTCTTTAATTAAAAAAAATTATTGAAAAAGAAACATAAAAGAATGGAGATGAGATCACCTCTATACCATAAGTATGACAGAAGTTATTATGGACAGGGAAGATTTAAAAAGAATATGCTCTTCTGCTCAAATCAAGTCAGCAAATCAAAATTCTTGCATAGGCTCTTCAAATTATTTTGTTTGGGCTGTTGAAATGAAAAGAAACAAGTGAATGGTGGTTGCTTCGAAGATCAGTTTGTTTGGCTCTATCTATCAATATTTATTTGGTTTTCCTTTGAATCGTAAACTTCTTTTCACACATTGAATCATCGTGTTGAATGGTATGCTGAAGCATCAACGTGAGTCACTTGTAGTATTTAACCTATTTTTTGATGATTAAAGTTTGAATTAAAACTGTCCTTGATTCTGCTTGACAAAAGTTGGCGCCCAATGTGGGGCTAGAACGCACAATTCAGTGTCTCCGCCTAATGCTCTACCTGCTTCGTAAAAAAGTATCACAAGGTCTTTCTGCCATTAGTGGCGTAGATAGAGGTGGATAAGAGAGGGGGCAAAAATCCCTTGTACAGCTTAACCGCTGCTTTTCTCGGAAAACGTCTCATCTTGCCGGAAATATAGCATGGTTGACTATTCAAATCCAAGTGAAAAACTTTGGGAGGAAAGATTTTAAACCTGAATGAAACAATTTGTTCCGATGTTCTAAATCAAATTGACAAGATTTTTCAATTAGGTATGGTACTTAAATATTCTATTTTCAAATGAGGAGAAAAGAAAAAATCTTAAAAAAGTATGATTTATGACACTTGATTTGATTAAGTGATTACTGTTTAACTTCTGCTGCTATCCTAAGTTCTAGTGTTGTTATGTTATGCTCAAAATCATAATAAAAACGCTTATTAGATTTGTTGTCAGAATATCCCTCCTGCGCAACTGTCTGCCATCATGACATCAGGTCACAAGCCAGTCATGGTCCGAAAAGATCTTTGGTTTACACGATGTTATGATTTAATCCAGCAACTTTTGGCTCCGACCTCAGTGAGAACTGGACCTTCTTTGAACTAGAGCCAGCTTCGGTTTGGTTCTGTTTGGGACAATGAATCCAGACAAAAATGACTGAGGCTTTTAAAGAAAAGATTATTTTTTATCCCCTTTGAGACCTAAATATCCCCCTTCCTTGATTCAATGTTGAATACGTGCTTTTGAAGCACAAATGATAGAATTTCAGTGGCAACATTAAACAGAGAATTTTGTTGCAAGAAGTTGTTCCTGGATTGTAGTCTAAAATTATAATTTGTGACGTCATATAGTGATTTAGCAATGATCTGACTGACGTTCTCAAATAGGCCTCGTATCAATACATTATGGCCTCGCATGAGTACACAACTTCTGTTTACGACGAAAATAAGATGAAGTCTTTGATTTAATGCGAAGAAAACTTCAAACTTAAAAACTCTAACTCTCATAATGGCTAGGATACCGTAATGTGAGTTTCCAGCCCTTTCTGAAATGTCAGGAAGCCAGTCATACCGATTCGCAGATTACTTTGCCGCTTGTGGACTAGATGAGAAATCGGGACTAGAACCTGAAAATGGAGGTGAGCTCTTTTCTTTCTTGGTCTAGATATGTGCAGTTTGTTGATGCAAATTATTCCACTCATCCCATGATGTTTGCAAAATCAAATTATGCTTTTTAGGTTGCAAAATAACATAAACTTATTTGATATTAAAAGAAAAAAGACATTCTTGAAAAACTATCAGGTCTGGAATTTTGCACATCCCAAGTTTTTACCAAATGATTTTTTGCCATGTTGCAAACCATGGTAGACACATAACCAAACTTGCAACTCCAAAAATGTAGCATAGCAAAGGTAAGAATATTCAAAGTCAGTTAAGCATTGTGAAGTTTGAAAAAATAACTGGTGGTGAAGTGCATATTGTTTGCACATTGACCATTTTGCATAGCTCAAGTCTAAACTGTGCAGGGAAAATGTTCATGAGAGAAAAACATCATCATGCTTGAATGATTAATATGCAAAGAAATATATGTAGATATAAGAAACCGATCAAAAAATTATTGCATATATTTTTGCATTGATTTCAAGGTATTTAGTTTCTGTCAGTTAAGCAAAACAATCTAAGGAGAGATGCAAAATGAAAATGTGTTAAAACTATGTTTGAAAAAATGCCAAGTGACCCTGTGCTATGAGGAAATTGGAATACATTCTCTTAAGAATGTGATCATGTAGTCAAAGGTTACAAAAAGAAATAATTACCTTGAATTTTGACAGACCTGTTCTTTGGGGGAAAAGGGAAACATGTACCAAAACTAACAGTAAGGTTAAACTAACAACTCTTTTGAGTGGAGTGGACAAAGCTTTGAAGAGGCATGCAGATATGGAGGCACATTACATTTTCACAGGCACATTACATTGCTTCATCATTGTCACAGGCAGTAGGCACATCAAAATTCGCCCTTTGCTCTTCACAATTTTTGAAGATAAGAATAACATAAGAATAATGTGTGTCATTTTGCATTATACCTCTTTATTTTGCACTAACATGCAGGACGAGTAAAAGAAAACCTCTACATGGGCCTAGTCATTCCAAAACTTGTCTTATATCTTTGGCAGCTTTTTCATGCTTATGGTTGGACCAACATTTTCCTTAACCTTAATGTCACAAGTAATGTCAGACAGTAAGTTGTGTGATTCTACCAAAAGATGAATTCTGTCATCACACAGGAAAATGTACCAATAAGTTTGACTTTGTATAGTCAAACCAACAAGGAAAAAAGACAGTTTACTTAAAGCCTTTTTCTGCCATGCATACTTTAAAAAATCAGCCTACAAGAACTTGGAAACTGTCCTAATCACATCAGTTGAGCAAACAGGAAGAGAGTGGTATGGACCTCATTAATCTGCATAAGGGGCACTCGCAGGTACAAAATTCATTCTCAGGAATTTTTGCAGGCACATTTCTGAATCAATTTTTGCTTACCTTTATTGTGTCACTGTCATGCTTTCTTTATACATCTTTCTTGGTATTATTGTTATTATCATTAAAATCATATTTAACAGGTTGGCTTCTTTCAGAAAACTTACATTTCTGCTATCAATGAAGGACCTGCTATACATACAGTTATACAAATCTTAAGAAAATATAATAAAAAGCAAGAAATCAGTTAAAATATAAAGTTTAGTCAAATCTTAAAGTCCATAGAGAGTAGGAGAGAAAAACTAAGAAGTAAAATTAGTCAAGTTTCATTTGAATCTGCAGATAGAGCGTTCTTTCCTCAATTCTACTGTTAACATGTTGAAGGCACATGCACTTTGTACAATAAACGACCTTCTTCCTGCTTTATTGTTTGATTTAGGTACCACAAGTCGATGTCCATTTCCTCTCTTATGAATTGAATGATCGAAGAACATAAAATTGATTGTGGACTGGTTTTTCTTTAGTCCATGTAGATATTTGAAAACTTCAGTTACACTTTGATGATTGAAATAGGACGGCAAAATAGAATATAAAAGGTAGCAGTTGCAGGTCTTTATAACAAAATCACAGAAGGTCCTTACTCTAAAGGCACCATTTTATTCTCAAAATTAAGTTGGTTGTTTGTCTTTTTGCCTCTATTGTCTCTTGATGGAAGAGATCACTTGCAATTATTGTATCGCTTTTTCTCAGAGCATTATGTTATGACTTGTAAAACTCATTCGTCCATAGTAGGCTGAAGAAAGCATACTCCATTAAGTTAAAGTCGTCAAGCTTTTGAATCTGGTAGCTATTGATTTCTGACTTATTTAAGCACAATTTGAAGGTACACCTCTAAGAATTCACCAAAAGAAGCATTTTAGACAATTTGCGACAACACAAATGAGCCTTTATTTCTTCAATTTTTAGAGTGAAAGCAATTTCGTTTATAAATAATCAAATTTCTCTAGGATGAGATAAACTTAAAGCTGAAAAACAGAGTATCCTTATTAGGTGCTATGTTGCATAAGACATTTCAATGAAAGTTATTGGGAATATATTTTTTCACAGCTATTTTTCATATCTTCGAAATGAGAAAAACCCATAATGTGGAAATTGCTAATGAAGCGAAAGCAAAATTCTAAAATTAACAAAGCTTGAAAGAAGATGTTGTTAACAGAACTGCTCCATTTAAAGTGAAGTGTTTGAGATATTGGAAAGCATTTTTCCTGAAGATGCCTTTATTTAATCAGTAATATCATAGGGAAACTTGACAACCCAAAGCAACTCATAGATAAAAACAGGATCATTCCCTTTTATATGTGCATATTATAATGTTAGTAGCATTAATTCTCATCTGTTCAGTTTAGCATGTAGTTACATGTAGTTTATAATGATATTGATATGGTATCTGCTTTTGGCAAATGTAAGTTGGTGTTACAGTACTGAGCATAACAGGGAGGTTTTCAATTTATTGATATCAATTTATCAAGTTGCAGGCACATTTTACTTGGCTTCTCGCTCGCAGGCACATAATTTTATTAATGAGCCCTGGATTGGTACCCTGGAAAAGCCAGAGCCAAGTGCCCATATAGCTTGATGTCAATGTTAGTTTTTGATCCCTCCAAACCTTTAGCAAATAGAATTCATTGAGTTTTTTCACCTTATTGAAAAGAATTGAAAAAGAAATATTTTGTTTCATATTTGACACTCAGTGGTATAGCTTTTTGTCTTTTCTTCAGACGTTGTTGGATCAGTTTCACCATTTGAGCAAAGATATAAAGCAAGTGCATTGTTTCATGCCCCAAAAGATGTTTCTGGAAATCCTTTTGATGCAAATGGAGTGCGCATGGTATGTCTAATTGCCTAATGCATTGTACATCACAATTTTCCAATTGCTGCAAATGACATACAATGTTAAACTTTTAAGCAGCTATATTTTACTTGTTGGTTTTCTTAAGTTGATGAACCACTTCTGAGCCTTGCAAAAAATTTTCATAATATAGTTGAAGAAACTTATGAGTTTTTAACTTGAAAGTTTTATTTTTATAGAAACTTCCATCCAAATGTGTTGTAAGTTATAAAGAACATGACTGTAATGGCATCATAAGAATTTTTTTTGAAATAAAGATCGTTTTGACTAAATCATCTCACTGAACAATGAATTGTGTTAAAAACTGGTAGAATTGGGTGATTTTTTTGCCGAATCCTTGTTTTGTATTGGTTATTGAAATTAAGAGCTAAGCCAAAAACAGCTTTATTCCTGTTTCAGGAAGTTTCTAATAGTTTTTATTAGATTTACATTTTAATGATAGTGTAATATAATGTTTCTTTAGATTGTATGATGTATGATCCCAGTTAAAAGATCACAGAAAAATGATGCTTTCACATTATCACTTCTAGCTAAAAAATTAGATTTTTCTGCATTTTGTCTTTACACAGCTAGAGCTGTAGTTAGCATTGGTATTATTCAGTTTAAAGCCATGTCATGAGCCTTGCATCCCAACATTGGAGATATAATAATTCTAATCAAAGAAACACAGTTATTAAAATTTTCATTTCTATGTTATTAAAAAATTTCAGGCAGAATATTTTGCAGGTTCCAAGTTGATAGACGTTGTAATTTTTTTTATTTTTCTTCATCCTTTGTTTACACAGCTTTGTTTTCCAAGAGGCTTGAAATTCTATGTGAACAAGCAGCCTGAACCATTCTTCCATTCATTTATATTGACTCGAGAGGATGGCTCCAGAGTGTATGGATGTGCTGTCACATTTTATGAGCATGTACAAAATGAGAGCATCTGTGCTGCAATGATGATGTTATGTACAATGTTTGTAACAGAGCAAAATTCTTCTGGTAAACTTGCCGAGAAGTCCGACTCACAGAATCTAAGAGGCCAAATAAAGTTGCCTAGGTATTTCATTCAATTCTTTGTATATTTATTGTTATGCTTTATGTTCAACAGGTAAAAATTAAATTTCTTGCAATGGCACCTGATACCTTATAAGCTGAAATAGCCAGTTTTGACAAGCTATAAAGTGTTGAGAACTAATTATGAAAATCTTAAAATCAAAATTTAACAAATTTGAGATTTGAATGATTTTCTAATTAAAAGGGATTTGTAGCTACCCCTGCTGTGGCAGTATAGACACCTAGCTAACCTGGTAATTGGTTTCTCCTTTGGGGGTTAGAATGCTCTTACCATTTGTGTCTACCCTTCTACGATTACCCTTTTAATTATATTAAGCAATCGATTCTAAATTTTAGATATAATCCGTCAGAAGACATTTTGTACTGTCCAAAATGCATATGTCTTATAATGCAACAACCGTTCATTGCCGCTGCTGAGATGTATCTTCATGAACTGCTTAAATCGGCCTTGAAGGAAGCTGAATCGACTTTGCACTTGGAATCCTGTGTGTATAATTTGCTATTCGAAGTCCCTGCACCACCTCCAGGGAGGACCCTACGATTTTCTTGTGGTGGTACTGCAATAACCTGCCAACAGCCAAACATCGACGAGTTGCCTCTTTTTGACTACGCACTCAAGGAAATGTTCCTTACACTTGGCATAGAGAATGTTGTTGATTTGTATACCTGTGTCTTGCTCGAGCATCAAGTATTGTTAGTTGGATCAGGTATGCTCTTTAGAAAACTTAGAATTCAAAGCAAAATCTACCTTTTGTGTTATGAAGTCAAGGTATTACATTTCAAAGTCTGCTAGGGAATCTTGCTTCGCGGTTTAATGACACTTAAAGAGATCCATCTCTCCTGATATTCTTCCAGTGATGAAGGGGCCGGTCCTCCGACCGGTCTTATTTTACAATTTTTCAAAGTTTTGTTTGCTTTTCTTGCAATCACACTAGTTTTTTCTAAATATGGTTTCATTGAATTAAAAATGATAGGTTCGCCACGATAGGCCCCTACCATGCTCTAATGTCGTCTTCCTTTTGCACTGTACGTCATACACACCGTAGTCAGGGCTGTTTGATTTTTTTATAGCGACTGAACTCCTTCTAGATTGATTAGTTGATAAATCAATTGCCTCAACTAACCCAGCTTGCCTTTATTCACATCTTTACCCAATGCTTCTATCACCCCCGTCGTCGCTCCCGGTCGATCATGCGTCATGAGAACACAATAAATTTCCTGGTTTGCTTCAATTGCCATTTTCCTAATTCCATTTCCCGTCATGAATCTGTCTTTCGTGGGATCTATTTCCACGATTGTTCTTTACCTGTGATTCACAATTATGATTTTCGAAGTGGAATATTTGAATTCGAGATTGTGGGTAAACAGAAATCCGTGTTAGTGATTTTTTGTAACTTGATCAATAACTTTGATCAATGTTTAACAGTCATTCTAAAGTTAGGTTAATGATTAACTTTAACAGTCATTCTGAAACCTTTTTTACTTCAAACATCCAAATTATTTCAAAATGCCAATTCAAATTCGAACATCCAGATTATTTCGAATTACCAAAACAAATAGTGCTGCTGACCCGAGTTAGTTTCACACAATTCCCTTTTAAGGTACAATTACCAAAAATTAATCTATTTAGCTTTCCTTTCTATAACACTCCCTCTCCATATGCTCCTTTCTTCCAAGGGAAAATTCGGAAAAATCCTTTCCTTTATCAGTTTCTTCCCTACCTTGTATGAGAAGCACAATTAAAAGGAACATAAAGAATTTATGAAATTGAGAATTTATGAACTTATGTAAAGCTGATTTTTCTTGCGTGTTATTTTTAATTCTAATATCTCGTTTTTTGACAAAACATTTTTGTCCTGTTTACCTCTAAACACTTTGTCAGCCTTAGAGTCCCAAATAGTTGTTGCTGGAACATTCCGTTTTTCTTCAAGCATCCTAGTTCCAGTTAGTGTGAATATTGGACAGCTTTCACGTTCAAACATTTGAAGAGCAGAAGAGACAGTTTGATTCTCAAGTGATTAACTAGATATCCAGCACAGATTTGAAAATCAGGGAACTGTTTAAACTGTGAAGGCGTAATTCCTCTCCCACTTTTGAAATATGCACCATCGGAGTTAAATAAGCCTTCTTGGGCTTGATAGAGCTGTTACTGTATAATACTTTGCTATAGCATCTAACCAAAGCCTGAATCTAACAACCGTTACTTTTTCTTAGAACTTGACAAATTCATGCTGATAACAGAAGCATTAACCACACTGCTTTTCCCACTGCATTGGCAGCACGTTTATGTGCCAATACTGCCGTCTAGTCTGCTGCATTTTCTGGATGCCCCTGTTCCTTTCATCATGGGAGTTTATTGCCAAACTGACGATGATAAAGCTGGCGTAGAAGCCCCGTTTGAGGTAATGTCCTTTGACTCGTTCTTTGGGTATTTTTAATGCTAGTTTTCATTTTTGTTTTTTTGAAAATGGCTCTGAAAAAAGCATACTAAAAGCTTTTTCGTCTGACACTCCTCAGAGCATAAAACGTCAGAATCAGGGTCCGAAAGAAAATGATGAAAAATATATATCCAGTTGTGGATCGAAAAAAGCCAATCAGAAAAATTTTGTTTTTTTCATAACAATAAAACCGGTACGAGTTAAAAATTCACCCATTCGTCACTCTATTCTTTGATCGATCATTCTGTTTTATCAGAGCAGTGGGGGCTATGGGCAACAGAACGTGCCTAGACTTATATCATTGATTCATAAAAGAAAACTTTGGTTCTAACGGGAGACAAAACTGTGACATGGATTTTAAAGCAATTTAGGATTTAGGATGGAATAGTTTATATCGAAGAAATGTAATATATGTACAAGGAATATATGTAAGCAAATGCATGTTTATTCCGTAGAGCTAGCGTTAACTTCAGCTGTCATATTCGTAGTACTAGATCTTAATACCATTTGACTGATTGCTTACCCCAAATTTATATTGATAAAATCTACGAACCGATCACTGGTATTTCATATAACCGACCAAATATCAATAATATCGATAACCAACATCTCCATTACCTATTTAATTAATGTTCTTCACTTCTGAAAACAGTTTAAGACTCTTTTTGATACTAAAATACCATTGAAATATTTTCCTCTGGTAATACACGAATGGGAAAGAGACGAAGCATAAGTGATTTGCAGCATCTATTGCTTAGGCTTTGCAGAACCTCTTTCGTGTACATAGAAAGACCCACAAGTTTATATTAATAACTATCAAATGGTTTGTGTCCGTCTTTGACCACGCGAGGGACACAGAAAAGACCATCAGCTCGATTCGTTGTCACATTCATTAAACTGAAATTACAACTGTTTAATTTTTTTGCTTCTTATGGAAAGCTGTATTTTCAGACGTTTTTTTCATTTTTAGTCATCCCTGTGCTTGTTGGATATTGACGAAAATATAATTGAATTGCCAGAAGAGATACCTCACCTCCCTGGCCGTGATGACCTCATAAAAGAGCTTGCTGATGTCCTTTCTAAGTATGGAGTAAAGCCACCACAGGGAAGCGTATACCTTCGTGCGTTCAACAGTTCTAAGCCCGAGGAAGACTATGACAGCAACTCAAGCTATGAGAGCCTCGATACTGATCTAGATTGCTCATATGAGAAGCGTGAGCGCGTTGCACTTAAAAAAGCTACAAGTTTTAAGGGACAGAAAAACAGAGGTCGGCCATCAACAGGTGAACGACCTACAATTCGAAGACATCGTTCTCATTCATCATCCCCGTCATTGCGTAGAAAGGAATATGACGTGACGAAGAAAGAAAGAAACGACATAAGTTATAAAATGCAGCCAAGGAAGTTGAAGGTTTTTGACGATAAAAGGCATGTTCCGGGCCATAATACAGATTCTGCTAGTAAAGAATTGGCTAATGGGAGTAAGACACTGCCTAACCCAAGGTTAGCAGCAATGTTGGCCTTGGCCCAAAAGGCAGGGATTGATCCGAGTTCGGTCATGAGCAAAAATCGTCTTGGCGCCGATTTGAATAAACAAACCTTTGTTGGAAGGGAAAATTTGTTCTTATACGGGGAAAGAGCGCAGCAAATTTCAAGAAAAATACAGCATATGAACGAGCTAAATATCATCATTCGAGATGTGTTTCTCAACCGATTTACACAGATATTAGTCGATTATGAGTCGTTTGTAATCGTTCCGAAACAGGATAAAGAGCAATGGATCTCTAATCGAGAACACATGCAGAATTTCGACAAAGCTGCCTTCCTTTCTGACCAGTCTACATCGTCTTTGCCTTTTATGACTTTATTTGTGGAGACACAAGCATTTGCTAGTTTGATTGACATGAAAATTTTGGCTTCATGGGAAGATTGTAATCCGAGGCTATCTTTTTTCGACAAGAAAAGAGATATCTTGAAAGTGAGACTTGGAATCATTCGGTCCCAAGTTTACGAAAGATGCGTTTATTTTCCAAAATCGAGTAAGTTCTTTAAGCTTTTATTGACCTTGAAAAGTCGTCGACTGTATCATATGCATCCAGCTTTGTGAGACATAATTCATTAAGCCTATGGTGATATGGTATTCGTTTGCCTGAAGGCAAAACTGCAATAGGAGTGAGCTTAAGGGAAGGGTTTTTAAATATAGTTGCCAGGACACGAACAGGTCGATCTGCTAATAGCCGTGCAGGGCTGCTGCTTCTAGTACTACAAAAGACCCTAATGTTTTCTGCGCTGAAATCTAGCTGCTAGTTACATTTTCAATACAGTTTGCAAAACGAGGCTGTTGCTATTGATTTGTGTATGGAAAGCCTACCAAATAAGGCTTACTAACACAGGAATTAATGTAGTGTAGATATTTCGTGCTGCCATCTTTATCTTCTTGCTACCATCTTTTTTCTTCTATCTTCTTTTTTGAATGATGTTTACTGATCCGTAAGCAATTCAATCTACTGATAGTGTATTAAGATTGGCCTTTTGCTATATAGGTCGTCATTAATTGACTTTATGACTCAGACATATAGCTGTTTATCTCTATCAACTGTTAAATAGCCTGACTCAAAGACCAAACATGAAAAATGATAGTTTTAGCCTTGGAGTTTTAGGTCGGAATAGCTTGCCTGCCGTTGGCGGAGAGATAATTTTTGACAGTAGTGTTTTTCTAAAGGAAATAAATTTAGCCATTGCTGGAAACAAAACAGCAGGCAATAATTTCTATAGCTGATAAGAATCATGGTAAGTATTTGATTCTTTAATCTTCATTCAGATTTAGCAGCACTAAGGCTCACCTTGTGTGAAAAATCAGCCAAAGTAGGGTAATCTGTGTACAGTGCACCTGCAATTGTCTAACTGTCTTCCCATACACCACTAAAAACACAAAGCTTAGATCACTGGATATCCAATTTGAATATTGCACAGCGGCGGAACATCTGCATTTCATATAAGATCATCTTAAAGTTTCCGAAGTCAGTCGATAACGAACAGATAGGATTATCGTGCTTACTTTATCTTTCTCAAACAGTTGCGTTTCCCAAGGAAATGAATTAATCAACACTTAACTGCGATTGAAGCTACATTTCTGGGATGACTTGACTCTCCAATGTTAGCAAGATATTCGTCTTGTGTACAAATTTTTATATTTTTGATAAGGATAAGAAGACTTGCGTTAAAGCAAGAGAAAATACCCCGTTATGTAAAAACAGGTATATTCTTTGTTTTTAATGAGTGCAAATCGATAATTAAGAAAATTTTTGCGGTCATTGAGCAGTATTTTCACAATTTGATCATGGATGAGACATTTATTAGTAGTGACATAGATATTCAAAATTATATCATCTAAAACTCTGAATACCTGGTAGAGAAAAGTGATTAATATTGGGTCCGGTTTGTTTGAATCAAGACAGTAATAAATCAGATATAAACCGTTGATGAGATTCTATGTTTAAAATTTTGATTGAAGCTGTTGTGTTTATTTTTCCTTATAGTTGAAGTTTATATCGGTCGTTCGAACCACGTAGATTACACTGCACAAACACCGCATGTTTTAAAGCCAGTGCCCAGTAGAGGTAACGTGTTTGATATTGTATCGTTTCGGAACCACTTCCATGTGCATTTAAATGTGGGTTGTAAACTACACTTATTGAAATTGTAGGTTTTAAGTCCTGGGAGAAGGAGATCATTCTTAGTGCTAGTACCAAAATTAATTTTTTAATGGAATTATATACAATATTAAAAAAGGTTATGATTAATTGTAAAAACATTTGTCTTTCAGGCCGAAACATGACTTGTATTTAAAAAAAAATGGTTTTTTTTTGGAAGTAGAATATATGGCGCTATATGACTTTCTTCGCACCATCAGAGATCATTAGAATCAGAGTTCTGCTGATAAAATGTTATGTTAATAGAGAGTACCATTGTGATCAACGACAATAATTAAAAGCACATAAAAGAAGAAACACGTCCCTATTGATTCCTTAATCATTGCTATTATTTGTTAAAAAGTTGTTTCAGTTAATATATTTGAAAAACTGCTAATATTTTGTCACATATTTTGCAGAAAAGGTTCAAGGCTGTTTCCCGACCTTGCAAGTTGAGTTACTAAACGATACGACATCTCAGTCAAGGTAATTTTTTAATTGGATATGATTTCAAAGTCTATTTTCATTTTGTTTGGAATGGGCTGTCAGTTTTACCAATAATCTTACATGAACATATTTAAAATGCCTCTTTTTTGTCCTGAAGTGCTGATCAAACGAGTTCTAGATTAAGGTGCAAATGCCAAGACCTTATTGTTAACTGTTATTGTATCATGAGATTTCTGAATACATACTGTCATTTTCAGAAAAACTGGCAAAATTAATTGGAAGAAGCGAGACAAGAAGTTACAACAGCAGGAACATATCTTGTTGAACAGGGCCATCAAAGCAACTCAAGTAAATTTTGTTTAAAGTTTGTAGCAGTAGAACTAGTCCAGTTGGTTTCCGACATCGATAACTTTCATAGGCCTGTAACCCTCATCGGCGTAAAAGTTTAGAAATGATATATGCTTTATGTTCACTGATCTATAAAAAAGACTAGAGTGAGCTTCCTATTATCTTGAAACACCAAAGTTGGAAGCCCGCTCAATTTAAAAAGGAGGAGGACCCACAACAAACGCGGGAAGCCATTTCTCAAAACCAATACTTAAATGATATGGATACCCGAGAGCTGTAATGCTGTGTGAATAAGCGATGAAAAAGAAAAAAGGCCAGGGCAGCTGAAAACATTCCTTGGAGTGAAAGTGAAGGCCTGCAACTCGTATAGGCTGTTCTGGGGCTATTCTCTCGGATGGCAACACTCGTCACAATAGAAGCTCGATCCAGTCTTTTTTATAGATCAGTGTTTACTTTTAATTCAAAAGAAGAAAGCTTTTAAACTTTACGACATTTCCTATCTGTGGTGGTTTTTTTGTACACACAAGGGTCCTGTTATCGTTTATCGGGAAAATGATAGAACATGTATCTTTCCATCCTCTTGAGCAAAAGTTCCAAGGGTGAATGCTCTCATCCTAAATTCTAGAATTCGAATGTCAGTGTTTAAAAATTGATTTGGGGCTATTTGATAATTAGATTTGGAAGACAAGGTCTTCATTTTATCTTTTTAAAAGCTTCATCGTAAAATCCACATCTTACTCAACTTTACTTGAATTGCAACGCAGTTCCTAGCTGAACAATAATCGTAATTACCGCGCGGTTTCTTTGCACGAAGGCGGTTTCTCTGCATATGCGACTTACGGCCTCGAATTTTCCCTAACTTCTTGTACGACTTTTTTTAGCTCAGATTTGGTCGCCATAAATTTAGGCTGGATACAATTTTCCATATTGCTTGTGCTCGTATTCTAGATTTTACGGCAAAGAAAGTTTGAAACCTTGTAAGGAATTTGACCGCAAAAATTGTTCCGGGTGAAACTTTACTCCCATCCCCCCCCCCCCCAGACTCACCAACACGGTCATATTCCTTATAAAATGTTTATCTTTATGTCGTCAAAAAATCAATATCGTGAGCAATACCATCATGAAAATTTCCAAGAAGATTATAATCCTTGCTCTCAATCCGAATCTGAGGACAAAAATTTTGTAAAAAAAATTTGGAGAATTTTTCAAATTGAGGCCGTAAGTTAAAGCCGTAAGTTGAAGCCGTAAGGCCGTCACTTTTAAGTTAATCACCTTTCAAGTGTGTTTATGAGAAACGTCTAGTTTATTGTTCTCTTTCTCTTCTTTCTTTAAAACCACAGGAAGGCCAGAAGATACGCGAAAAACTTGCAGAGAGAGTCAAAGTAAGTCTGCAGACTTTTTCCCTAATAAGGTTTTTGATCCTCAATTGTAGACATGAAACAATTTTTTATAGAAAATTATTATTTACTTTTCTGCCATAAAGTGTTCGATGCCGTATAGGCAGATCTGTAAACACTATTGGTGTATAGAGCAGGACGGTTCTAATTTCCATGATGATCGCATTACCGTAAATCCTCGAATAAGCCCCCACGCTCGAATAAGCCCCCCTCGAATAAGCCCCCACCTAAAAAATTAAATAAGCCCCCCCTCTAATAAGCCCCCATGAGGGCTTATTCGAGGGAAGCATAATTGCATAATGATATCTTATTTCAAGATAGCCCCCACAGGACAGTAGCTATACAGTATCACTTCCTTTGACTGGAGAACAAAAAGCAAAAAACGACTTTTGTGATGATAAAAAGTTATAATATTTGTTAGATCTTCACACTTATGTAATTTTTCGATTTATTTTATTAAGAAAATTATGTCGTTTTTATGTCTACACTTTTGCATTTTTGCATTTGCATTTTTTCAAATTATGTCACTTTTGCAAATAAGCCCCCGGGGGCTTATTCGAGGATTCACGGTAAGTGTGAAACTCGGAGTAGCAACCTAGAACCGTCCTGTTCTATACACCAAATAGCATCCAACAATTATTAGATATTTGATGTTGTTTTCTACATCTACTTTGACTTCGTATTACAACGGGAATCCCCGCATTTATGTTCTTTTTCTCATTCGTTGCAGAAATACATGCAAGACAGCCGTCTTCCAGTAACAGACAGCAGTACCCCTGGTGGGGGCCAACAAACTTTGTCTGCCTTTGCTGATCGCTTGCTTAAAGAATGCAAGATGAAGGTAAAGGCATCCTTTTAGCCTAGTTATTTCCGTGATTATATGACGGTGGGTTGGTAAGGCTTAAGAAGTAGACAAACTCTGCAAGAGACAAAAGTTTTGCTACATTATGTCTGGTATTCTACCCAAGTGATAAAAATGCTTTTCTTAAGATACAATTTTCCGTTTTTCATAGACAAAAAGACTTGTTGTGCTAAAGCTCGGAGAAGAGGCAGTTGAGCTTGGACACAGCGAGAATACGTCGGCAGGTATCGAAGAGAATACCCTAATAGCAAGTTTATGCGATCTGCTAGAGAGAGTCTGGAGTCACGGTGTACAGCTGAAACAAGTATGTTTCTCAATAGATCCTTTTTATCATCATAATGTAACTCAAGATAGAGTCCTTAATTGACCGATTAAGTATATCAGTTAAAAAAACTTCCTCTTGTCAGCAGTTCGAAAAATGTCTGTGCTCTTTCAGTTCTTTCTAACGACCAGTCATTAGCTGCTCAAACATTTCCACGATTGAACTTTCCCAGTTTTTTTATTTTGCTCACTCAATTCCTTGATGTCAATCTTCAATCTTTACTTCAGATTTGAAACTAATGTATCTAAGAATTATTGTTTGTTTCAATACCATTGATCATAAGTTGTTTTTAACGTGCATCTGATCAAATCATCATCCACTTTTTTTCTCGCGCAATTCGTAAGTTTGGACCATTTGGCCCAACCACTAGCCCTCTCCCCCTAAACGTGATGAAAATTATCTTTTTGCTATTTTAGCTTGAAATCGGCAGTCGCGGATCCTCAAAATCAAAATACGTTCTCAGAATGCGACAGGTAAGTAATAATAGCAAGACCCCCCTTTTCCCTTTTTATGACAAGCGTTCACGCCTATTTACTCATATTCAAATTTTGCTGATCAAATTTTGTTCATAATTCGTTTGAGCATTACATGCTTTGTAAGCTTAAAGGCTCTTGCGCAACCGGCATGCTTAGCGGCAGCTGTTTTGAGAAATTGATTGTGTTTTGCATTTTCATGCAGTACGATTTTGTGCCGGTTTTGAAAATATAGTTGCAGAGCATGCCGGTTGCGCAAGAGCCTTTAAAGCATAGCCAGAAAATTGTTCTTCAAAATCCACCAATCAACAAAAACGACCTTTTGTTTTGTTTTCAATTGGATTCGAAAAGGGCACTTTATTAGCAGAGGCCAAGGTATGCGGTATGTTTAATGGAGATACGTTGTCTCTTTGATCCAAATTTATGAAGACATTTGAGTAGCTTTCACTCTCGTAGCTGATGCCATCCATTTCGTAAAAGTAAATACCACCACTATGTTGTTACTTCTGTTTCCTTTGATAGTCAAAATCTGCTCTGTGGTCTCATTTGCTGGCATTCCAAGAAAGAGAGAAGCTCAGGCTAGCGAGAGAATTCGGACTCGAAGAATCTCCGAAAATTGAAGGTGGTTGCAAAATTCCTTCTACTGACCTCCAGCATTTTAGATAACCGAAGAAGTTTACAATTTCTTTTACAGAATTTTTTAAGAAAATAATTCGTGAATAATAATGATTAGAGTGTCTCTAGACCATAAAAAACAACGATTACACAGTATTGGGCGTTTTACACAGTATACCTTTATATATGGACGTTGATATTATTCCTATTTGCATTGAATTCTGTTATATCCGTAACTCTTTTCATCGGTCTAATTCTTCACTTTAACTTTAGATGAGGTGAAGAAGATAATAATTGATTTGCAAGGAGGGCGCAGGCTAGCCAGTCTTGACGTCATGGCGGAGATGAGTCGCATTAAAAGGCGAGCTAGCCCAGAGCCAGCCTTTTCTCCTAGTACCAGGCTCCGCAAGCTAAGTATAGATAGCTCTGGTTCAAGAGCAAAACAGTATTCATTCGACATGCAAGCACAATCCAGTTTGGATGCAATGATCTCCGCAGAAATTCTGACTCGCGTAAACTTTTTGTGTGACTTGAGGTGAGTCCGCTTTGAAAGGTGTTATTTTTGCCCCGATTAAACGACGTCTTTAGCATTAAAATTAAAATTAAATCAACATTTTATAGAATAAAAGTCTTTATATCGCTTATTTTCTTTCAAGGACTGTTCAGAAAATGGCTGAAATCAAAACAGATACTGGTTATGCAAGAGCGTGGACGAGACTGTCACTTGAGAAGAAAATTTTATCGACGCAGTTGAAAATGCTGCTTCGGGATCGGGAGCTCCTTCAGTGAGTCTCTAATCCTTACCGCAGGGTGTTATATTTGCCTTAATTGATTTGATTGTATGTGATTAATCGCTACTGTTAGATGTGCAGTTATATTGAGCTGTATACCATATCCGTATCTTTGCAAGGATACTTTAGAAGAGAAGTTGTATTAGTACTTAGAGTAATGCTTAAACTTTGTTTTCATGAGTTAAGCTTTGCCTACATCAATTGTTTTTTGGTCTTTGTTTGGTCAGGTAGCATCCAATCAGTCCCAGAAGTGCTTTTTGTTTTCTATTTTATTTCAATGCTACTCATTTTGATTTCAGGATGCGATATAAAGATTATGCTTTCATTAGGACTGAGGATGAAATGGAGCAGTTTTTGTACCATCTTTTGTCTCTGAATGCAGTTGATTTCTACTGCTTCACTCACGGTTTTTCAAATACAAGTTAGTAAAGTCTGTTTTCGCATTACCTGTTTCAGAGATTAAGATAAAGGTTAATGTTTAGAACGAAATGAAATATGGCATTTTGTCAAATAGATGATGTACGTTCGTGATGTAAACGAAGTTTGACGAGGCTTGAGACGCTAGACATGACAAACAGCCGATGGTACAGGATCTTCTGAAAATTTTAAGGGGAAAAGATTAGTTTTTTCTTCCACATCTCGGTCAGTCGAGGTCATTCTACTAAGAGAACTTTCAGTTCTCCTATTAGAGGAGTTTCAGTTCATGTTGTAGAGAAGTCGAAGGTTTCACGTTCATGGTAAAAAGAATGCACGCTCTCCATGCTCATGAAATTTGAGTACGATCTAAAACACCCTTTTGAACAAACCTCTCAAGCATGTTCTCATGTGTTATGACGTCATATTGCGTTTTCATATGATAAAAAATTCTCATAAATAAACCTCACAGAAAATACATCTCTTTGCATCAATACGAACCCCATCGCTTTGCTCTACATACCACTAAAAATATCCCTTTTTTATTCACCTTTTGCTAATTTAAGTAATAGAAATATGGAATTGAGAGTAATGATTGAACTACAAATTCACTGCATCTCTTTCTAAGATAACTTGTAAGATCTCTAATTTGTTCGTAAATGTACGTGCCTTTGATACAAGATAGTTATTTTCACTGCAAACTGGCAAGCAGCAAGTTTTTATTCGCAAAGAACGGGTTCTTTTCGAGCTTATAGAGAAGAGGTTTGAAAGTCTCAAACACTCCACAGGACTCTACATGAGTTCTCTTTAGGTTTAAATTGTTCTGCCTCAATAAATGCACAAGTACAATCTCCTTTTATGATGTTTCTTCAATCATTGATTCAGTTGCATCTCACCGGTTTAGCTAAAGTTATATCAAGATAACTTTGCCGGTCTATAGCAAGAATATTCTACTTTCGTCCCAGCTGCTAAGTTTTAGTGAATATAAAGGCTATCGATGGGGTTTTGATGATCATCTGTCTTTATCAATTTTCGCTGTGATAAGTAGATATTTGATCCATTTGACCCAACCGTTCTTTCCTTTACTCTCGCTGGTCTTTTAGATGAATCACGACGGGCTTTCATATTTAAATTTCTAATTGACGCCAAATTACGAGATCCTTTGATTTACCTTGCCGGGATACGCTATTATAAGCGTTCCGATAACGGCTGCGTAACCAACTAAAGTGGTTTTACATTTTATTCACATTATTTCGTAGCTTGATAGGAATTTTTAAAACGGAATGGATATCCCTAGTTGAAATGGAATCATCAAAAACATTTCACTCACCATATATCAATTGAGTCAGTCAAGAGTTGATATATTCAACAAAGGCATTTAATAAATACTTTACACCTGTTGGTTTATTTTCTGTACAATTAAGACAAAAAGATAAGGTTAACCCTTTCAATTTTCTCTTGTTTACTCGATTCAACCTTTTGCTCTTCAACGCAAGTTAAGTTGCAAAAGCACTTGAAGAAATATACGCAGTATTTCCAGATATACTTTCAATCTGTATCACGATTTGTTACAGTAATATTTTTTTAATAAATCTACACAGTCATTCAGAATGACTATGAACTATACGCTTAAGGCAATATCGTTACCTTGGTGCACCGGGGGTCGTACTTAGCCTTGTAATGTAATCTGTAACTTTCTTTGTTGACGACTCCAAAAATTGTCTTCATAAACTCTCTGCCAATTTTGCATGCAGAAGAAACTGATGTCTCAATATAACCAAACGTCATTAGTCAGTAATTTAAGTTGGTTACGGCTGTTTTTAATGGCATTACTTAAGCCTGAGTTGAATGAAGCTGGATTGATTCACTCTAGATGGGTTTCACTTCGGATATAGGTTTAATTTACACGACTGCTAGGAAGTCCGAAGCACTCCGCTTTGCCAAACGGGACTGAACGTCACTCTGCATTGGAGGTAAAGTCAAAATCAATCCAAAGTACTCCGCTTCGCATTTTAACCAGTGTAAAAGTTCAGTACCATGTGCTTTTCTCCCCGATCCCTCGCTCCCCAGCAAGCGGCTTCTCATCTTGTTAAACAATTGTGTGATTCTTGTTTTTTATTTTTGCGCCGATGGATTGATTGACGCCACGAATTTCAAGGTGGAGTGGCCAAGTTCTATAAATCGAACTTGAATTTAGTGCTTCAAAACAGAGCCTATTTGGTATTATTTTAGCTTACCAAAAAGTGGGGGCATGGCCCCTCCGCTCTGCCCCCCACCAGTGGTGTAGACCCTGTCCTTGTAAGATATAATTTAGGTTTCTGCTATTCGCATTCCAACATTCCATGTTTCACGATAGACCATATAGTTCTTTTTGGACACCCAGCCGTTTCTTGATAATGCAACAAAATAATGCTCAAGAAAATCTATATCTCATCCTGTCGATGACCCATCCGCTATTCCTTTTTTTCTCGCTTGGAATAGCGATAATCGATGTTTTAAAGGAGATGTGAAATTCACCTCCCAACGACAAATTATGTCAAGAACTTAGAAAAATTCATAAGTTTTTCAACGCATGACCAATTTAACGGTAAATTTTCTGGCTGAATGAATTAATTTCTTGCTTTTCTTAAGATTTGAAATATTAGTTGAAATGAATTGAAAATATGTTTTCCTACGTAGCTGACTGTGTGGTCGAGAATATGCGTTTCTTTATCACTGGAGTGTAAGAACTAAAACTTATATGTTTTCGCCAATAAAGGGAACTATTAGCGCTATTAATGTTTTTTTCTAAGCCCCCGATATAACAAGAAAGGCAGCTTGTCTTTTGTTAGTTGCACCGAACTCTATTGTCGCATTGCTAGGCCTAGCCCAGCTTTTCCTCAGACAACACTGTTTTCTTAGACTGTAAAATGTTTCGCAATAAGGGATGGTAGGGGAAAAGTAGAGGAAAGCATCAAAAAGGTAAAAAAAATTTTCCAGTTAAGTGACAAGCAAGGTTACATTTGCACGTTTTTTCTGACTGGCGTTCTTCTTCTATCCCAGCAATGTATTATAGAGTGTCCGTCGTTTCAACAAAGACAATCGGCTCAATTTCAACCGCGAATGCCTGGATACGGGTGTCTGGAGATCTAGCAGAAACACAGTCAGTTCACATACCCAAGAATGAAAAAGAGGTTGTCTTCAAGGTGAGCTTCACCATAGTCATTAACAAGAACAATTTTGTCTACATCCAGGCACCGCGGAGCAGGGGGGCTGGGGGGGGGGCTTTAGCCCCCGCACTTCTTGCAAAAATGCCAAATATTAAATAATAAACTACCACTAAAGCCTCTTTTTATACTGTTCTAACCCCCCCACTCTTTTAACCCCCCCCACTTTTCTCAACGCTCCGCGGTGTCTGACATCGTCATCATTGTGTCTGCAATACTCTTCTTTCCAATTATCAATAGATTTAGGCATGGATTCTACAGCTACAAGATAATTTTACTCTGTATGTTGTTAAGAAAAATGAGCAGTCACGATAAACATTGATGCAAATTTCTTGCAGTCAAATATTTGAAAAATAAACCAACTTTGTTTTAATCAAGGAAAAAATTGAAGGTTTCAGTTACTTTCCTGACTGAACTCTAGGTATAGTTATATTGAATAGAATTTAATTTTTGCTTCATTTAAAAATTATCATCAAATATATGCAAAATGAAAATTTTAGGTATTGTTTTTATGCTGAATTTCGTAACCTCATTTTATATAATGTCGTTTGCAAACTGAATTTTGTTCAATAAAGCTTGTTCTAACTCACCCAAATCCTCTTTCGAATTGCATTGTGTAGTAAGAGCAATACCGAATTGCATTTGTGTCGTACAAATATTTCCTCTCCATTTTAATTTTCATATATTTGTTTAAAATTTTAACATTACGTTAAATACGCTACGTATTCAAAAAGTTTTTTCAGTTAGTACTACACCGCATTCCTATACGTTTTTGCATTACTTGCCTTTTACAAAGGCTATTATGAAAGATTACTTGATATTATGAATTCCCTGGTTTTGATATCAGTTCCCCAGTTGGTTGATACCTATGGGTATGTAGCATTTTGATACAGTTTACTGATACTTTGCTAAGAAGTTTTTAAAGTTGGTATCTTGTCTTTCTAGCACCAAAATCTCGGCATTCTAACAGCACTAAGAATTGGACATGACAACTCTGGTAAGGGTTTCTAATTTACTCATGTTTAGATGTTTAGATATCAAAACTCTTAGGCAAACATTTACAAACATAATAGCTTCTATAAAGGTGCTGAAGTAATGCTACAGTAATATAAAGGACCGTCATAGATGGTAAATATTTCAAAGAGGGGACTAGAAAAGGGGTGTGTCGGGCCAAATTCGACAGAGAAAAATTTTGGAGACCACTCCCTCTGGATACTTTTAGAACGCTCTTTTTAAAGTGGGTATCATATTGTTACCCAAAATTGTTTTACAAAATGCACAGCATATTTGGAAAGCAGACACTATACTCAATAGATTGTCTGGGGCGTCTAAAAGCTGCTATTGCCCTGAAATATCACTTCCTTAATTTGTTATCAAATCTCTCGTCACATGGCTGGAAATATCAAATAGCTTTATTCTAGGCCTTATCAATTTCAAAGGATAGCTTTCCCTACTCTATTTCATATAATTTTATAACAAAGCGTTTTTCGATTGTTTATCTCTAATAGAAATTATATATCTTGCAAAACTTAACCCTGCCTTGCTTTTATTTGATTTCCAAAAAAAAACCTTCGAGATCCAAATACTGATATGATAAAAAACCCACTTCAAATAAACTCTTCTGGACCCACTTTTACAGGTCTTTCGCCTGGATGGTTTGTGGATTCAGTCGAAATTTTGAATGAAACAACTGGACAGCAATATAGGTAGACATGCTTAATCTCGTCATTTAACTATGCTTTCAATGAAAATAAATGTTTATCAGTAAGTCAGTAAGTGCTCTGTGAAGTACAGTAGCCTGATGATCGCATTAAGCGTGCAGCTCGGAGTAGCAAGTTAAAACTGTCCCGTCCTTTAAACCAAAATTAATAAAACTATGCTTTATGTTACATTCTCTATAATCCCTTGGTATTGCTGGTCAGGTTTTAATTTTTGTCTTTTGTAATTTTCCAATTTATTGCGGATATATTGTTTTTTAATAGTTTAATGAAAACATAGTGTATTATTCAAAATTTATCTTGTTGTAGCACAGTCGGTGAGCATGTTTTCGTTGCTTGTTGGAGTAAATGTGTTTTTTGGTTAGCATCCATGCTTATAGGTGCAGATTTCCTAAAAACGGCCGAGGTTCTTCAAGAAACTCTGTGTGACGGGTGAATCTCTCGAAAAACCTTTTGCCTGTCTAGATCTTTTTAGTTTTATTTTATTAGTTAAACATATCATCCAATTGATTTGTTGTTGTTCTTGTTTTATTTAGTTTAATTTTGGTTCCAGAAAAATGTGTTGTTTTGGTTTTGTACAATCTTTCAAATTTATTCATTTATCCCACAGTTTTCCCTGCAACCGCTGGCTTTCACGAAATCAGGACGATGGAAGCACAGAAAGGCTGTTGATTGCAGAAATACAGCGGGAGCTACCCCTAGAAGATTGTATGTCATTTTTTATATGAATTTTCATTATAGTCTTAAGTGCATAGTGGAGCAATGTTTAGTTTTTCATGTAGGAGTCCTTCTTCGGAAAATTCTCAAACCTATTGGCAAGTAAAGAATGGTTTACCCACCTTTTGCAAATGGGGCCTAGACACCCCTGGGAGCACAATTTGGTGTCTCATTTTGTGTTGCATGGTTCACTTGTTTTATTCCCTTGGTACCAAGGCCTCAAGAAACCAGAGATACGGTATTGTAGACCAATGCGGTAGCGAAGAAGAAAAAAGATGAATATTTCTTGAGCAAGATTATTCCATATTTCTGAGACCCTGAACCTAGGATATTTGTTTATTATTGTTTTACCGGTTATTATTGTTTTCCGTTGCCTCTGATTTATATTACAAGTGCGTTGCACTACTTTTTTCTACGGACGCACAGACATTTAATTTGCGGGATTATAATAGGATTCACAAAGACGATCGCTGAAAGCAGATAAAAATTATTCACCTCGCCCAAACGTTACGCAATTTTTATTTATAGTGGAATGATTTAGTATTATGGTGTTAGATTAGTGTAGCTTAGGTCAATTTAGTGGAACTGAACCCGAACGATAGCTCTTCAAGCTATAATTTTGCCCATCGCATGATTGTTTCGATCTACCTTTTTTAGCCAGCAGAATATCGCGCTCGGCAGAATCATCACCCTGTGGAACACTGACAAGAACAACTCCGACACACCGAAAAAAATCGACTCCCAATATGAAGAAAAATAAAAATCAAGGTAGGAGTATATCTTTATAAGAGGAAGAGGTGATAGGTCTGCGCCCTGAGGGACTTAAGTGTATTTTATTGCTTCAGTTTTGTCGTACCAAATTGTTTTGAGAGATATAGCCAAGAACATCCATGGCTGTAAGATTGGGTATACATGGCTGTAAGATTGGGGAGGGCAAAGGTGAGCTGGGGAAAAGAACATTTTTGGTCCACACCCTTCTAAACGCCAGAAGACGCCCCTTTTCAAAGGAATCTTTCTCTCCCCCTCGCTATGCCACTGCCAGAAAACTATGTTACCTGTGTATTGAACAGAAGAAAGGAAGTAAAAGTGTTGACATCAAGTATTGTATTTTACACGTTCTAAGCATTCAAAAAGCTTATTGCGATCTTATCTTATTCATTCTTTTTATAGGTTTAACTGTTTCTGAGATACAAGAGAAAGTTGCAGATTCTGTTAACGCCTTAGTCAAGTATTACTACAGAGAGAAAGAGGTCAATTTTTAGAATTCTACTAGAGTTGAGACTCTTTACAATATGCCTTCCTTGACATGGAATGAAACAGTTTCTTTAATATCTTTTCCTTGAAGCCTATCAGCTATAAAGTATTATAATTTGTGTTTTGCCAATCTCTTTTTCCTTCCTCTTAAAAAACTCTTCCAAATGACCGACTTCCTTAAGTTTACAACTATTAGTGTCACTATGGTACTAAACATTTTTTGCTACATCCCTAACTATGATGTTTTTTTAAAAATTGCCATATTCAACATTTTCCTCCAAAGTCTTTCATCAAATTTTACAATGTTAAAAAGTGAACTAGATATCTTTAAGCAAGCAAAAAACATTTAACAGCTTTCCTTTTGATGAAACCCTATGATCATTCTTTTCAAGAAGTTTTAGTTGGCCATTTAAATATTTTTGCATCTTTTGATCTCAGGAGAGCTTCACATACCTGCTACGTGGTGATAACGGATTTTGTGAATGCATGGAATTGGTATTTTAAATTTGCTTATTTATTTTGTTTTCTACGGAATCTTTGGAGCTCGTAGCTTTGTTAAGTGTACCGATTCAGTATATTTTGCAGTGCATGCATGCACTATCCAGGCAATTATTGATGTTTTGAACATCTGCTGTATAAAGTAACTTACAGCTAGTGTAGAATGTTATCAGAAAACTTTACAATATTCCCTCTCTACAGTTAGACTTGTAGAATGTATTATGTTGTATCTAGCTTTTGAGTTAGAGTCGAAGGGTTTCAAGATGATATCTTCGGCTTGTCATCACCAGTGGCTTAGCCTGGTTTAGGACACCTTAGTTCGATAATCAAGGGCTCCTGATCAAAAGAGACCCCAAAAATTTTTTTGTGTCCATGTTTTAGAAGCTTGCTCAAGTTAAACCGTTTTTAAGAATTTTCAAAGCTCTCGAACTAAAGCTTGTATAACTCAGTTCCCCTTATTTAATGAGAGGAGTTATCATTTTTACATTTTGATAATTGTGTTTTACACCCTTGGATCTCAGATTTTTCTTCGAGCCCCAGGTAACCCTGTTACGTCACTGCTTATCATTTAAGTTATTCAACGTTTGCATGTGCAATTTTTTTTAAGTTTTCTCATTTTTTCAATAGTGTACAATAATCCACATTTTATTTTTTCTTTGCAGGTCTTCTGGTTTGGGTTTAAAAGCTCGAGATTGTTCGGGAGAAATATGTTCCTCTGGGACTTTCTTGGTAAGACATTATTCCTTTCTTTTCATAAATAATCTATCTTCAACATTTTTATTGTCTTTTTAGTTTTTATTAAGTTTTCAATTTTTTATCTAGGGATCTTACGCTAGTAATCTAGACCTTGCGTTTCTTTGAAGTGTTTACTCATTCAAAATTATTTCGAGATCAAGAAAATAAGAGAGGTTTTAGGTTTGATTTTTTCAGTCGCTTAATTTTTTAAACCTTATTTCTATTGATAAGAATTTTTTTGTAAGAAATCCGATGAATATTTTTTTTTTGAAATTTTGAGAGGTTCTCAGATAGCAAGTTCCTTTTTTCCATTCACAGAAAAAGTCTGCAATGAGTTTTCTGGAGATAACGACAGTTTTTCAAGTGAAGATAAACGAGCAAAGAAATCATTGTGTTCACTGGTGCAGAAAGTCAACACATCCCCTCAGTCAATTGGAAAAAATGAAAAGTTTCAACTATGGATCTGCATCGGTCTGCGGTATGTCCTTATCTATTTTTTTTTATTTTATTCTTATTCGGGATGTCTAAAACTAAGAATGTCTCAATTTTGAGCATGACAAAACGAGGCATAGTGTTTTTACGATTATTCAATGGAATACAAGGAAGGTAATTTACGGTTGTCCAGCGCTTTTAAAAAGCAACTAAAGTATAAAATATAACTACCCATGGGTGTAGCGGATGCTATCGAACTACCTACAAAGTATCAAAAGAGTACCAGCATTCTTCGTACACAGCGACAGGATACCTATGTTTTAACAATAGTCCTACTTGTCCTACTTTAACAATCAGTGAGTTCTTAGGCAAAAGGCAGTATATATTCATTTCCATTTCCAGAACTCTCTTGCGTATATCTGTTGATAGTATTTTCGATAATAGCGCTTTCTGACGTTCACCGACTATTAGGGTTAATTTTACTAAATTGAAGAAAAAAGAAACTTATATTATAAAGAACGATCAAGGCCATACTCTTATGTCGGTCCTTATAAAAAAACTTTTTCATGGTTTTTTTCTATGAATTAAAGCTGTTTTCTATTAATGGATAGGCTGTTATCGTCTCCTAGCTAGTAACTTAACCAGTGGCGGAAATTATGGAGGTATGGGGGCTCAGCTCCCCCCCCCCCAATCGGCGAGCCCGTCGGAAAGTTCGGGCTTGCATCGGATAATTGACAACCGTTTAATGTCTCGAAATTACTGCAAGAAATCGTTTGTATTTTAAGCTAATCTAAGGGAAGTAGTTGCCAAATTTTTTGCTCGTTTCGCTAGTAGGTGATCCGCATTTTTCTTTTAACCCCAGAGGCCTCTATAACCTCTCTGTGCCCTTTTTGCAGAATTTGAACAAAGCATAGCTGATAAAATATTAACCAGTACTAAATAATCAAACAAACAATATATGACAAAAATCAAAACTGCTTGTGAATTGTATCTTTAATTTCAATTGCGTAAAGATTAGCCGAAATTTCCATCGCACTCTTCCGAATAAACGTTATTTTTAAAAGTATTTCCATCTGACGAAAACAAGATAAAATGCAGAAAATGAAAATTACAATTACAAGAATGTTGTTATCATGAAAGACTTGTCAAAAAGGGTAATTTCACGACCTCTTGAACATATTGTTATAAATGAGATATCGATCTTGATATCAAAAATCATAAATGGATTGTTCTTCTTGCTACTTGCTATTATGGCGTGGTCAGCAAAGATTTCTTACAGGCCTCGGCAAAAAATCCCCTTTTTTCGTCAAAATATGAAGTTTCCTTAAAATTAGACATGATCCAAGATGATATTTTGTCGGAAAATCGTAGGCCTTTGAATGAAAGCCTGAATTTCCGCCACTGAATTTAACTAACTTTATAGGTGTTAACGAAAAGCTTACATGCTGTCTTCAAAAAAAGACAAGCTGCGAAACTCGTAGTCTTGCTTGCATTAACGATCTCTTTATTCTTCTGTGTTTAGTATTTGACAAAGGCGTGTTTACAGGAATTCCAGTGAACTACATTTTTGTGTGTGCTTACCAGTGACTTTCATTACAGTTTGGATACGGTTTTATTTTCATAATGTTGCTGAAATTGCGCAAACATGTTAACCTATTTGGGATAGTTCTATTTGGGATAGTTCAACCTCATCTTGCTTTTTGTTGAAATTAATGTTCTCTTGTAGAAGCGCATGCGCATGTTGTACTCAACCGGTACTCTTTTTTGCAGGGATCACCTTCTTCAAAGCTGGCTATATTTAATTTCAAGATCTAACTCAGCTGTTCATATGTATGAAAAGAATTCGTTCATCCTAAACAAAGAACTCTGTAACTTCGTGATTGATGTACTAGATGCTGTGGCTGAGTTCGAGATCGTCCTAGAAGCTTCAATAACAAGTGGAATCGCATAGGTATTTAATTATCTTAAAGTAGATATTATTGAAATTGATTTCTTGATGATATAGCCTATCTTTATGCAGCCATGTCTGTTCAAAATAGCTTCAACCTCTGGATATGGGAATGCATACTTTTTAATGTCACAGTTTTATTTCTTTCAATTAGATAGTTTTTCAACTTTTGTTTGGTAGGAGAATATAATCAGCAACGATCACCTTGGCAGGTTTTCTTTCAGTTGATCTAAGACTCAAGCTTTTTGTGGCTTGTTCTTAAGGCAATATAAACTTATTGCTATTTGGTCTTAGTAATAGTATCATGATGTTATGATGACCTATCAACGTGAAAGTGACAAAACAGAAAATCCTTTCACTTCTTGAAACATTTGATGTGTTTTAGGCTTTTTATATGCATTTCAGAAATATGGTAGATTAAGCAAGCAATTTATAACATAGGCATAACATCTAGTCAATCTTATATAATTTTTAGATTAAAATATTTTTTTCTAACAGTAATTGTTGCTTGGAATTGATCTGAAGTGATTGAAAATTAATGGCCAATGGTTAGACATACCACTTCTAAAATCTGTGTTTCTTTTACATTTTAAAAGTTTAAAGAAAGGTGTCTTACCGTCTTTAACTTTGTAACCATTATGATGATCATCATCATCATCATCGTCAATTCTCATCATCAACCATTGTCATTTATCTCCATCAAGTGTTTTGATTAGCTGTTAGTGACCTAAGAAATCTATATTTACTTGTTCGCAAATTCGTTGTTGGTTAATTTGTAATTTTTACTATCTTTAGATATGATGTGATCATGAATATAGAAATCTAACGAAATCGTATTTAATTGTTATTGATTATAATTTATATGTTACTGAGATTTTGCTTGAATTTTATAATGTAATATATTGCCTCTCATCGGGTACTCGTTCCTGCGCTTTTTGCTTGAATCAACTTAAATTTTTCTTGTTGAAAATTTTTGATTTGTATGGAAAAAGCTTCATTGATTGTTCAAACACAAAAACCTAATTCAATAAGAAATAGAAATCACTGTTTACCAGTATGCTATAAAGTGTCCGATGCCGTACAGGCAGAGCTGTACGTGCTATTTGCGGTATGAAAACAGGACAATTCTAAGTTGCTACTCTGAGTTTCACGCTTAATGGGATTATCAGGCAACAAGTACGTGGTCAGTTGCACGATGATGGCATTAAGCGTGAAACTCGGAGTAGCATCTTAAAACTGCCCTGTTCTATACACAAAGTAGCGTAATAAATTGAGCATATTATCCATAAGACCAGCCGGAAACCAGCAAAAAATGTGTTCTCATTAACCTTCTGTTTAAGTAGTAAAATGCTCCGAGGTGCATTTGGGAGAAAGTGCCAGCCTGATTGTACTTTCCGTTGGCAGCCTCATATTATAACAGGGTATCTATATATCTATTTCACATTAGAGAAGATCTTCAATGTTTCTGATAAAAGTGTGTGACCTGTAGTGACCTGTAGTGACGTGAAGGGAGTATCACTTTCCTCCAGTCTGCAGAGATTGGCGATTGGCAGTTCTCCGAAAAAACCCTATATAGTTTTGGTGAAAATCATATCTTTTTATCTAAAGATCTTTGGAGTTTTTTGTGGGAAGCTCGTATGCTATTTGCAAGAGTGAAGTTCCCCTCGCAGTTTTCGACGAGAATACGCGCTTGCAAATTCATTCCACATGCAGAAATAAATTTTGCAACACTTAGTTACACTACACAATCTGTGAATACACCAGCGAAGAGAGTACTTCCTTGTCACCAGTTGACACAAGCTATTTATGACAATACCGAGATTCAATATTAATGGATCTTTTGTTAGGGCCTTTCACTTTCCCCTATTTTCATCCATGCCCCCCCCCCCCAATCCAGTTTAGCTGTCTACGGACCTGTAAATCGCTTTGCTCTGACTACGTTGAACACTTTGGCTTAAAGCCTTCCTGAATTCTGCTGACTATCAGCAAAAGTTAGGTGTTTGTGGCTGCATACGAGGCAAACTGAAAAGAACGACTGGAATGGCAAGCAGAACGCGTTTGATAGTTCGGACTTTTGTCGTTGCTGAAGTTATTTTTCTGGTCGGATCTTACAAAGTATGGCACCAAATGAACACAAATCAAGGTATGATTCTTGACTGCATCAAAGTATTCTGTATGTTCTTGCACTGCACATCTGTTTAGGGAAATTGAAAACCCTATTTTGTACTTAACGAGACCCTCTACACGGTCAAAGGTTGAAAACTTTTTATACACCTTCATAAGCCAGTAGATCTGATCTAACAAGAACAACACCAAGTTCTAAACGGCTTAATTGAGAAATGCCCAGGTCAGCTAGACCATTAATAGTAAGCATCCCTGTTCTTGCTTTTTGGTAATTAGTTGAAAATTACAGTTCTGTGTTTTCTGTGTTGTTAAATCCTGCGCTGCTTTGAAAATACGGAGTTGACATCAAAGATTTCAGTATAAAAAATGTGTAGGGGGTTTTGTATTTTACTCAATTGCCTCATTGAAAGAGTCACCATAATAGGCCTGATAATATGTCACTTTACACAAAATATGAATTCAGTAATGATTATCTTGGTAGCCCAGCACCTAAGTGTCAACTTGCCAATGTTTTTCTAAATCGATCATGTTGAATTAAGCAAGTTCCAAAAATGCTTCAAAACATCAAGACAGTCCAATAAAAATTGACATTTTTGTGTTTTTATAAAGTAACTTTTTCCAGTTTTTAAATCAAAAATGTTACCAATAGTTTTTGGTTGTTCTTTTACTATGGAATGATACCTAATATTTTCACAAAAATGGTTTAAATTTCAAGAGCCATGTTGTTTAGAACACTGTTGCTATTGGTCATATTTGTAAATCTCCTGACACCAACAAAGAAGTGTAGATATTTTCGTTTGCAAAAGTTGCATTATTCGTGAATATTGTTTGGGCTCTTTCGTAGACCATCAAATATTCAACTGAGGTTGGCTTACTTTTCAAGATTTATGGTCCTTTTTAACAAAGGGTTTCAGGGCAAATGTTTTCTTGTACCAAAACTTATTTCCTGTTCTTTTTAGACTGTTAATGTGAGCAGCAACATTTCACCAGAAAGGGACTTCCACTTTCAAAGTCATTAAAAATACCAACATATCAGTTACTTCTTCAACTTAACAAGAAACAATGAATTAATCTTTGAAGTTTAAAGTTTTATGTTTTTATCCTTTTTTCTATTTTTCATTTTTTGATTCAGTTTATTATTTTTTTAGTTGGGAAAATGCCTTTTGAAGGCCACTACTGTTGGGAGAATTCGACAGAAAGTTTAGGCAATTGAAATTAAACATATAATTCCCAAAAATTTTGAATTTTGACAGAAATTTTTGGTAACCATGCCCTTTAGATGGACTCAAAATATATTTCTAAATATTTGTTGCATCATTTTCTTAAAATTGTTTAAAACGTTTCATCATTCCTAGACTCACAAAAAATCAATTCCTCATCAATTGTTTATCATTGTACAAGGCTGTTTGAACACTGCACAAATTGGTTATTGCTCCATCCTAAAATTAGATATCAGGCATGGCCATAAAACTTTTAGAGCAATAAACACTCTCCTGGTAATTTCCAGGTGAGTTATTTGTATGAATATGAATAGAATTAAAGGAAATTTTATTTCAAGGCCAGCAATTTGCTTTCTAGAGCAATTTAGAGGGCAATCGGTGGCTCCCCTCAAACATTGAGGAGAGCCTAGAGGGGTAGAGCTATGGCTCTCCTCAAACAGCCAGGCCTGGGGAATGTGCACTGTTCTTAATTTAGCACTGGTGAAGTACAGAAAAACCTCTTTTGGTAGAAATTGAATTTTGGTAAACTGTTACCCCAACTGAAAACCTTTGATAATTTATAACAATATTAATACAGTATCAAATGCATCTTATCTTGTGTAATAAAATATTGTAATCTCTTCCTCAGATTATCGCTTGTGGATGCACAGTAATTATCCTTTTGTACTTGAAGGTAAGTAGGATACATCTACAAAGATTTTGACATAGCAACTCAATTTAATCTAGCCTTTTGCCATTATGACTGAGCCAATGAAGAACTGAAATAAAACATCAAAGTTATTAATTGATACATATCATCTTAGCACCTTAGTGAAAGGGTATGTTCAAAAACATGTATTTTATAAAATTTTGCTCAAATATTCAAAGATTAAAAGTTTTTCACTGCTGTCTCAAATATCAAATAATGGAGCACGATAAATATGTAAATTTCAATTTTATATAATTATGAATTTTACCAACTGACAGTGTCATATTGGACAATTTTTTAAACACATACCCCAAGATAATAGTACCGCAAGTCCCCAAATAATCCACCACCTTCAAATAAGCCCCCCTAAAGTAATTTTGTGTGAAGTAAGTTTGCACCATTAAATAAGCTACCATGGGCTGATGTATTGCCTTGAATGCAATAAGTTTACAATTGTCCAAATATTTTTGCATTTTTAAGCATACAGACCAGCATCAAATATACAAAGAAAATTTATTGTGGTAATATTTTTGGCTTCTGCTAAATAAGCCTCCACCTTCATATAAGCCCCCCTACCCCCGCCTAATAAGCCCCTAGAGTCTTATTCAAGGACTTACAGTATCTTATCAGTCATAACTTAACACAATTTGCTAACTGCATATCACATTTCTAACAAAGAGTTGAAGCAATTTTGAGGTTGAAATATTTTTAGTGGGTAAATACATATTTGGTAGCAGTTAAATACTTGCAAGTTTCCAGTGTTAATGTTTTCTAGAACCTTATACACCTAGAAGCATATCATTTAAAGTCTTGTCATGGACCAAATTAAATATCAGCTTGGGTCTGTGCCAGTGGTGGCTTGCAGCCGTACTAGTGATACCAGTCTAGTACCATTTCATTTTGAAAGCTTGCAATATTTTTGTATTGAATGATTTTGCTTTTTTCTATGATAATTAAACTAATAATGGCAAAAAAGGAAGGGCAGCAGAAAACACCATATCTTAATTCTGACCCTCCTTATCTTAATTCTGATCCTCCTTATCTTAATTCTGACCCTCCTTATCTTAATTCTGATCCTCCTTATCTTAATTCTGACCCTCCTTACCTTAATTCTCATTGAAAGTTTGGCTTTGAATAAACCCTTTATGTACACCATGGCACTAGACCTCATTCATCCAGTACTGCAGAAGTCATTCATCCATTGTCATTTGTGACTGAAGATGACATGAAACCGTTTGTTTTTGGACAATTCAACAATGAAAAAACCGTTTGCAGTACTAGCTTCCTCTTTCTTGTGATATAATGATGCAAGGCCATTTAACCCCTGCAGCTGGCAATATAACATTATGTCAAACAGACCCAGGTATTATAAGAAAACTTCTGACCCACCATTAATTAAAAGACAATTTGGTCATATTAGCTATAAAACAAAAAATTTCCAGGGATCACGCCCCTGCACCACCCTTACTCTAGCTGGTTCGCTCTGCTAAAAAAATTGTTTTGCTTTACTAGTACCATCTCATTTTTTGTGCCAGCCACCACTGGACTGTGCAACAGTGAAGCTTTTATGTCACATAACAACATTTTCAGAAACAAAGGGAATGGATAATATAAGTTGTGGGAAGCAGAAAGCTTTCAAGATATGTCTTCCCCACTCTATTTCTACAAATTGGTAATTTAATTTAATTTCAAGTTTCCATCAATATAAAACCAAATCCCTCTGTTTTACTGATCATAATAGGGACAGCAATTTCATGCTTTATTTTCTTTTTACTGTATTTTTACAGGATTCTATAAAGGTGGAGAACTTATGGGAATAAAAGATACAAAGGAAAATGACTTCAAAACTTGGAATATTGAGAAATGATATGATTCACTTGTAGAAAGTAAGACTTTTCTTTCATTGAACACATTGCCATGAATGAAATTTCTAATTTGGATCCAGAAGCAAGTTTATTTTGGCCCAAGTAACCTTTTTTAAGATTTTAACTGTTAATTATATTTTAAAGATCTTTTAAAGTACCAACATCATTCAACTTTTATTGTAAATACATGTTTTTTGAAAAAGTGTTTTGTTGAAACTGCATACTGCAAAGTTCCTTTTCTTAAAGAACCTTTTAAAAAAGTAAAACATAAACACTCAGTGGGCTTTGAAGCTCTTGTTCATAAAATAATACTTGAGCATCAGCAAAAAATCTGCCACTGGACAATTGCAGAAGTGAACCAGCGAGTGTAACAATAAATGAAAATAAAGAATCTTCAGCATGCAAAGTTTACTACACCAGATATAAATTTGGGGATTACACAAGTATATAATTTATATATTTCTTAAGTTAGGAGATATTGTGTAAATGAAAGTTCAGAGATTTTCACAAGTGATTATTATCTTTTTTATTCCAACCATCCACTGACTGACCTGAAAATAAAAATAAATCATTATTAAAATTTTAGACTTTATTAAAAATATAATCAAAGACATCATTATATATAAAATAATTTTTCTAAAAAAGCCTGTTATTTAAATACATTTTAACAACACTTTTTAGTCACAAGATACTATTCTTTGAATCATTTTATTTTATTCTCAAATTGTCAGAAATTAACCATCACTTTTAGATATAACTCTTTTTAATTTGGCAATCTATTTTTTCAAAGAATAATAAAATTAAATCATTAAAGTAAATATAGTAAATACCTCTCTGAACACACTGGTTAAGAACTTTCTTAGTCTAATGCAAATCAAACAAACTCACCTCACTTGAATAGTCAACAATTAGGGATTGCTGGACTCTGTTTGCTTCAACATAATTACCATTCGATATTGCTAAGAAGAAAAATTCATAATTTTCATTTTTAACAACTAAAATTTGATGCAGTGTTAAAGAGAATTACCCAAACTGCAGTATAACATATGGTTGGGGACGGATTTAAAATGACAAAAACTTTCATTTAGATTAAAAGTTAACAAATTTCAAGACTGCAAAACACTTGAATCTCATTATAAGATTATAGAATCATCCTCTGAGTAAATTCCTAATGACTGGAAGTTTAATAGACTGCCAAGGTGTAAATGCACGAAACTACTTGAAAGGGATGTACCACAATTTGCTAGCTCCTTTTTGTGTTCGAAGAATGAGTACACTGTGTGTCGGGTCAAGGGGAAGGCATACATATATCTATATATGTATATATAAATGCTTTTTTATAACTTTTTTGCTATGCAAGGCATGCTTGTTTCCCTATGATTAGTGTGCCAATCGTCAGCAAGCCAACGACTTTGCCAAAATGGAAGTTGGCACAGCTTCTAGCAAAAACAATCAACCATTTGTGGCATTGTGTAATTTTTGATACAGATATAGAGGCAATAAAAATTTTGATTGGTGAAAATGTATGGCTATTGTCAATAATGCCATTGTTTTTCTTCCAATATCAGGGCCCCGGGCTCCTACCTTGAAGCAAACTGCACACACACTCAAGTTACTGAAAATCCAAACTGAATCCATGTATAAGCAGGAGGAATCTTTTCTATTGACTCTAGACGGACCTGACAATGCTGCAGTGCTCTGCACTTCTGCACCGATACACCTTTGTTACTAACTCTAGGGGTTAAACCTTTTTAAGCACCTTGTGACTGCAAACAGTTGAGTACTTTATAACAGTTTCAACTTCAAAACAGCAACTTATATATACATAAAGAACAAAAAAACACAATAGCATCATAAGTGTACCAGTATTCTTGGTACACAGCAACAGGATACCTACCTTTTCACAAAAATTTCATTGTTTGCTAATGCCCCAGAGAGAAAAACTCCTTTTTTAAAAAGAGTAGGATTTGTTAGTTGAAATAAGGCAGACTTCAAATGAAGAGAAAGTTGTGGTGGCTTGGTGATTCCAAAATTTTTGTTGTTTTACTATTTTTAAGTAATTTTTTTAGGAATGGCCGACTATTTTTTCTCACAGCATCTTAAACATATAGGAACACAATTTTTATAAAAATTCTGGACACTTTGACACAAAGAATATAAGGAGATTTCAGGCCAAATTTTGGTTTGAAGGAGTCACTAACAACAAATGAACATAAATAAGGTTCAAAAAAGCAACTTACCTTCAGTCATGGAAACAATTCGATTTATAATATCCTGGGAGAATTTTTCGCTGGTCCATTGTTGTCCTAAAACATCAAGCTTTCTTTTCACATCATCATAAAGTCTCTTTTCCAGCTTTACTGAACACTTATCAAGGGCAAATTGCAACTGATCCATTATATTTGTATAAAGTTCCAAATCAATGCCTTTAGAAACAGGTTGATCTATCTGCCCTGTCTGGTTTGTAAGAGGTGATGGTGTTCTTTGCCTTGATGCACAAGCTGAGGATGATTTACTAGCATAGTAACCTTCCACTGGAGGTGCAGTGACTGGAGGAGGTCCATTCATAATTGGTTTGAAATCTGGTAATGAGTTACTACGAACATGATGTGGATGTTCATAGTATTCTGTAGACAGAGAAGGCACTGTTTTATTCATTTGAGCTTGTTCATTTATTCTTTCGACTGGAATTGGTGGCACTGGTTGATAACTACCATTCCCTAAATCTCCTATGGCAGAACTTGTATTTTTTGCACTGAAGTTGACAAGTGGCTGACCCACATGGAAAGGATCAATTGCAGCAGAGCTTGTCTGACCAGAAACAGCAGATGATTCACCTACTGTTGCAACTTGCTGCGAAGGGTTATTTACACTGAAAATAGGTGGAGCAATATTTTGTATCATTGGGGGCTGTGGAGAAGCACTGAGACTTCTATGCAAATTAGGCATACTTGCTGCATGTGGAAGGTGTGTGCTGTGGTGTTGATCCATCAATACTGGTGGTGTCATGGAACCACTCATTGGCATTTGGCTGTGTCCACCATATGCATTGGGCATTTGGGGATGCCCATTACCAGTCGGCTCATATGGGTTCAATGAACTTTTGATTGACGGTGGCTGGCTGGCACTTGGATTATACAAAGGTGGATAGGTACTGTTCACATTTGGTGTACTTGGTTTGTAATTCTGACTTTGATAATAAGTATTCTGTTGACCATGTATATTTTGGTTTGGCGGGTTCTGCCCAAGTGATAGATTTGCCATTCCTATGAGGGGAATTACATTTGAACAATCATATGAACATGTATATATATATATCTTTTAGTATATTTAATCGCTCTGATAAGTTGAGCACTCTAGACAGTAATATGATAATTACACTGTATATACATATAAATACATATAGAAATTTGTCTTTTGATACTTCTGTAGCACAGTGCTCAATACGTTAGCACGTAGAGCGTGATATATCATAGATTGAAGAAAGTAAAACTACATGGTTTATCTCTACAAGCCTGTTTCGTGAGTAACTCACTCTTCAGGAGATGTATATATATATAAACAGTATATATATAAATACATATATATATACATATAAATATATATACTATCAAAAGCTCATGCACCGAGTGTAATAAAAATAATATAGATATTCAGAAAAAACACTATCACTTAAACGTTTTGACCAAAGTCTTAATCAGTAAGACTTTACAAATCAAATGGAGCTAACATATACAAAATCAATACAATAGAATTAATACAAAATAATATAATACAATGCTTGAAAAAAATCAAACCAATGTATCAAATGCAATATCAAATGCTTTTGTGCTGATGACAGTTATTCCAAATTTTAAACATTGAACAAAAATGGGGAAAGAAAAGACTTCTTGTCTTAAGAAAAAACTGACAATACAGCCTATTGAAAATGAGAGAAATCGGAAGATCCAATAATCTAGACATGTAGGAACTTGTCTTCCATAAAGAGTTTGTAAAGGAGAAAGATGCAACAACTACACAAAAATGAGAGAACATCTGTCAATTTTTGTACAAAATCCAGAAAAAAAAATTGAAAGGTATCTAGTAAATTAAGGTTTGATTTTGAATATACTTACCTGTGTTGATTCCTGGTCCACTGATACAGTCATGTGCAACACGTTTTCTCAAATCAAGTCTTTTTCGTGGTGTTGATGTGCTTGAAGTTGGTGAAGCAAATGCCAAAGTAGGGGGGTCATTCCAGCCACGGTCTGAGTTAGCATTACATGCCAATATAGTGGGTGGCCCTTGGAAGTGATGAAAGTTTATTTAATACAAAAGGTTTAATCATGAAAAGAATTTAAAATATTTGGGAATATCAGAATCCCTTTAATCATTCTTATTCATAAAAAATATATTGCCAGATGAGTTGCAAATATAACTTTTAATATTAACACGCAAATGCTTTTTACATTGACCTTTCTGTATTATCATTGAACATAGATGTATTCCTTCTGTCTTTTTTAAGTAATACCTTTTCTTGTCTGGGCAGTTGTCTATATACTTGTTGATGCAGTTGCTGCCTGTGATGGCTAATCAAAGAATTTAACACATCTGACAAGAAGGTGGATTTCTTATAGATTGACACCAATATTTTGCATTTACTGGAAACTTTTGAAAAGGCAAAGAAATTGAGAAACCATAATACTAGGCCGCTGCCTAGTTTTCTTGTTAAAAGTTTTTGATAAAACTTGTTAAAAGTTTTTTTGTTAAAAGTTAAAAGTAAATGTTAAAAGCATCTTTATCTTCGTCATCAGACAATGCGAAAAAGTCAGCTCTCATAAAATTTATTTCTACGGCCATCTAAGTAGCCTTATTTATCGTGATAGTACCGCTTTCAAGAGATTCCATTTAAATGTTCCAGACTAGGGTCAAGACGTCACACAAAGTTGCCTTTCCTGTGTAAACACTTCGTTTAACTGGGACCTACATATTTGTAACATACTAAAATTGTTTGCGTTAACATATATATTCTCAGTATTTTTATTATTTACAAGACAATATCTCAGCAGATTTCATGAAAAGCGTCACCCATATTGAAGCCACCTTTCTTACCCGTTTCAACACGTATGCTAAATTTACGTCATAAAAAATTTCCTTGCATTACTTCCTGAAGTTGAAAGGATTTCGTCATTTAATGAAACAACGATGATTGTTATTATATCACTGGTAATCTAAGGGGCAATTCACGTAAAAAAACTAAGAAGATTTCCTAAATAACATGTCTTACCGTTGCCCTGATACACAGCCATAATTTGTTTTTGTCGGTCAGCTCAACACGTAGGCCCAAGAGAATCAAACTTACGTTTTCATGCGCAGATTTATTCTGAATTTGCATAATTTATGACGGAACTTTCTAGATTCCTCCGCAGCGACCAATAAATAGCTCTGTGTTTGGGTGTTCCATGTCCTTTCACAAGGAGAGTAATAGCTTTACAGTGTCCATGTCGACTTTCTGCATCTTACTTTACAATTCAAGTAAATTAAAATTGTTATTTACTTTGGTAGCTCCTTATTTGGTATAAATTTTGTTTATAATAAAAATTTCAAGGGTCCTCGTGACCAGTGGCGAAGCTAACCAAGAACAGGTGGTCCTGCTCAAAGGGGGTCTGGGGGCATAGCCCCCAGAAAAATCGCGTGGAGCCACGCCCTAGAGACCCTCGGAAAAGGGGGAAACGCCCTTCTGGATATGTTGAAATCAAGATTGCAGTGAAACATTTTTCACTGTCACATTTTGGAAAAAAGGGGATGAAGGTTCGGATCCTTTCAAGTTCCTCCTGCCTTACATTGAAGAAGTCAAAAGAGCATCACAAAAATTCTTTCTAAAATAAGTTAGATTTGAAAATGTTTTCATTGATTGAAAATTTTGAAATCATGGACTAAAAAGAAACTGCTTGTACAGATAGGCATATACAGTTGTAATACATACTGGAAACATAATTGATTCAAATTATTTAAAAAAGTAAAAATATTTTGTCACAACATGGATATGTCTGATGAACGGTAGATAGGGTCTTGAATCAATTTGTTTTGAATATCAGAGGAGACCCCTGACATTTTGCCAGTACAATACAATCTGAGTCACCGAGTACAAAAGCTCCCAGTAATTACCATTGTTTTCCTTTTCATCCTTTTCAAAGCGTCCTTTTCATCGGGACCTCTGAATTGTATGGTAGTTCCTGTTTAAGGCAGTAGGACGAACTGCTGAAATTAAATTTAAGAAAGCCCTTTTTCTGTCATGAACACTCCATCTCCCCTCGATCTCGACTTTCCTGGTACAAAAAAAAGAAGATTCTCTCTCGGCAGCAGCGGCAAACTTTTTCTACTTTCTAAAATAGGCCTTTGAATATGACTTCCTTCGCTCTCTGCAGTCTGAGAGAAAACTATATGCATATCAGGTTTCTCGCGATGTCTATGATATTCCCGACTTTAACAGTAAATAGGAGCAACAGAACGATCCTAAACAATTTGATTTCCATAAGTACCACTCCTCTTGAAACGATCGATTCTTGTATAAATCAATTGACGACAGTGTAGGGCCGAAGCTTCTAGCAGCAAAAACTTCTTCAGCAGCAGAATCATGATGTCTTCGTTACAGTTAGTTTTATCCATGATATCAAAATAGTGACTATGGCCTGAGTGAAAATTCTTTGTGACCTTTAACCACGGCGCAGAAAATCAACAAATTATACCGAAACATAGGGCTCCAAAAGTCTAGGTCCTGCCTTCATGAAAGAGCAGGACCTGAGGTCCTGCCATTTCTGAAGGGCAGGAGTGCCATTGTTTTCTTCTATTGTGAGGCAGGACCAAAAACAGGGATACGAGGCATTTGCCTATTGTTGGGCAGGACCAAACATAGGGTTTAGTCCTGCCTACGAGTATTGGGCAGGACTGACCACAGGGCTAAATTTTTGACGATATCAATTTACGAACGGGATACTCGAAATTCCATTTCAGTCACCCTGTGTCTCAAAATTGAAAAAGGGCACAACCACGAAGTATAAGTGTAGAATAAGACAAGAAATGCCTTTGAATCAGGCATATAATGATTTCATAAAGTGAATCAAATTTTAACATTTTAAAAATTGTTATCTTTGGAAATTCGTGGTCCTGCCCGGCAGGACAAGCAGGACCTTTGGCTTCGCCACTGGCATGGTTGCCAAGCAATAAAGTTGACTGATATTGTTTGAGTTGTGTGGGAAGGTTAGCTATTCTTTAAATAAACCCAGAACCTTTAAAGCATTGAATGGCTTTTCAAGTACCACCCTGCGTTGTAAAGGGGCAGACAGTCAAGGAGTACCTTTGATAACTAATTCATACCATTATTGCAACAAGGAATAATTTTATTCATCTATTACTTGTTATGAGTTCCACAATCCTAGAGAGACAA